CATGTTTATCTGCTCCAAAAACGACGATCGTACGATCGAACTTACCAAGGTACATATCAATGCGAATCGCCGTCCATAGGCGACTGCACATCACCATCCGTTTAAGCGAATGCCGCAAAATGTACAACCAAACAACTTACTGGGTAGTTCATACAACACATGTCGTCAGAAGACCGGAAATATAAAACACTGCAACAAATAAATTAAAACATTATTAAATGATAGCAAAATGTATGGAGCACTGTGTTCACAGTTTTCCTTTCACTAGTTTCCTGTGTATTTCCCGCCTTTTCCATTTTAGTGGGAGCACTGACAGTGATTCCGGAAGGCACAGCTGGTTGCAAGGAAATTTTTATTGATACAGAAAAAGTTCTCTGTTAACCTATTTATACAAAAAACGACACAACTGTACACCGCTAGCCAGGGGAACAAAGAATGCACAGCACACAAGTTGCTTGCGCTTTGTACTCGAAACTAGCGCCAAGCAAAATGATGATGTTCAGTTCACGCAATCGAACTCAGCAAGCAGTTCAACAATCCGCACCGGTCGCCTGTGTACAATGAAATAATAATTTTCGTTAGAATTTTACACAGGAAAACCGGGGAATCTCTAGACTGCTACACATGCAGCTAACTGTATAATGATGATGATGATTACACCATACAAATGCTACCCCGTACTCCTGTATGGGGCACCGATGGCATCTTTCCCAGTACATGCAATGAGTTCCTTGATCCCCACCTTGTTCGCTGGGACACTGTTTGCTGCACTGTCGGAATAACTGTTCCTCGTTTCCCTTGAAAGACATACATTATGCCAAGTCAGCAGTAGTAGCAGGAGTAGTAGTATAATCAGCAGTCCATCAAATAGACATGAGCTAAACATAACCGTAGAAATCACTAAAAGAAGACCATGACACCATGGCACATTAACTGAAGGTGAGCAACACACTTCAGTTATTGTGCAGCAACATAAAACCGACGGAAGAATTTTTATTTTGCACACGCGTTTTTAATTTTTTGTCCTTTTTAATCGTCGAGCATTAAGTATCCAAATGTAAGCAGTTATATTTACAGATCCTGCAGTGGTTTCGATTAAGAGCCATATCCTGAATTGTTTCCAGCCATCGGCGCGCCTCGTCCTTTGGTCCCCAACCAGGAAGACGTGTGGATCCAATGGTGGCAAGACGTGAAGTCAACGATTTCATTTGCTGTCGCCAGGTGGATAGTGGACCACCAAGTGGCCTTTCCAGTTGAGTCCTGCACGATCAAACAGATCGCGATAGGGTAAACGCTTAGCTGACATACGCAGCACATGACCGAGCCAACTTAACTTGCGCAGCGAAATCAATTTGCTGAAGGGAATACTCGCATTCCCTAAGACACGACGTCTAACTTCACTGTTGCAGATGTGTTGTTGACCACACACACGAGCAATCCTCCTAAAGCAGCCGTTGTCGAAGGCCGAGAGCCGTTGTAAATCGACTACGCGAACTGGCCTTGACTCGCTTCCATATAGCAACACCGCCCGAGCGGTGGCATTGTTAACGCGGCCCTTTACCAGGAGTGAAGTATCCCGACGACGCCACAAGTGCTGCAAATTGACAAACGCCGACCGAGCTTTGGCGATGTGAAGATAAACTTCCCTTCTAGTGGTACCACCAGCAGATACATAGCTGACAAGTTACACAAAGCTATGCACCTGTTCAAGCGGTGTACCTTCAATATTGAGCACGGGAACAGTTGAGTAACAACCGTAAAGTATCACTTTGCACTGATGTGTCAAAGCACATTCAGTACCTAGATGCCACAATCGCGCCACCGTCTAGAATGGTTTGCAAGCTCTGTGAGACCTCACCAAGTAAGGTGATATCATTTACATAAGCTAAGTTGGTTGCTCGCTTGCCCGGTAATAGCTGTATACCAACATTTTGGCAACCGTCTCGAGCTCTCGATAAGATGTCTTCAATCGCAAAATTGAAGAGGGACGGGGACATAGGGCAGTGTTGTCGTACACCACTAATGACAGTTAAGAACGACGAAAGCCTGCCATACACCCTCACTCTGCCAGAGATGTGGAAATATAGTGCGCGTAGGATGGCTGTGTATATTTCTGGGACACCGTTCCTTAACAAACAAAGCCATGGCGCAGGTCGATCAACAGAGTCGAATGCGGCACGGATGTGCAGGAACGCAACGATGGTAGACCTCTGATAATGGTGGCAGTGTCCCATGACTTAACGGAGTGTGAATATCTGATACACACACCCGCGGCCAGGTCGGAAACCATCTTGTTCTTCTCGGTACTGCGGTTCGCGAATGGGTGCTAGTCTACGGAGTAGAATGGATGCCAATAGCTTGGAGGCAACCGAAATGCGACTATTCCCCTAGTGATTGTCACATGAAGTGCGACCATCCTTCTTAAAAACGGGGACAAGAACTGACTTGCTTCAGGAAGAAGGCACCTTTTCTTCATGCCAGATTTTGGAGAACAATGAGGTTAGCTGGCTAACGATAACTGAGCCTCCATGTTTAAACAGATCCGGAGGAAGTACGTCAGAGTCGGCAGTCTTGAATCGTCTTGTGTTTAATCGCAAGACAAACCCGCTTCGCTGGGTGGATCAAATGTGACGACCCAGGGCGGGCAGCTGGGCTCATAGGTGTTATAACTGGACGGTGAAGGCCAATTGAATTTGGAATGAAAATATTCGGCCCATTGGTCCAAGCGTCTCTGTAAGTTGGCAATCGGCGAACCATCCGCTTCGCATATAGTCTCACTGACACCAGGATTTCTGTGGCCAGTAGATCGAATGAGCTGGAAGAGCTTGCGAATATTGCCAGAGTTGGCAGCGGCCTCATTTCTGAAGCACACTGGGAGCACCAGGCTTTATGGTCACTGCGTATGTTTTGTTTGAGCTGCCGACTGAGCGAACGGCGTACTTCATAATGATTAGACATCACAGGGATATTTCTGCGATGGTCAAGTGAATCCAAAGAGCGCGTGGAGATCAAGGCATTCATAGGGTGCTGAGTAAAACCACAGACTAGCTTTCCGGAAGAGAGCATGGTCTTCTTCATGTATGTCCAGTGTTCACCAATGTCTTGCGGTGGGTCGCAGCTTTGAGCACCAGCCAGGGAAATTTGATAACTCTGCTGAACCGGAAGAGTATAGCGTTTATTTGTATCTATCTTACGGTGCTTCATTTTCGGAGACCCTCCGAACTGCATGCGGATGTTCGCACAGGCAAGAACATGGTCTGCTTCAAGAAATATGGACCAGGTGGATCTGCAATCCTTTGCACTGCCCATCTATCTGAAGCTGATTGCGACATGATTAATCTGAGACCATAAATGAGACGAAGATGGGGGTCACCAAGTAGCGGAACGTCATCTTGAATGTCGGAAATTGGTGCTGGACAGAAATGAAAGACTGTCTTCGGGCAATGCGAGTAGTCTCTCCGCATATTCCGAGCGGCTCTCATCGAGCACGTGGTGACCACCGAGATGACTTTTGCATGACAATAGACGGACAAGAATATCAAATTTGCAAGCTCTGTCCAAGAGCTGATGAAGTCCACGGTATAAATCGTTCTTGACGGAGTCGGAACTGCAGTCAGTTAGAGCGTAAGCAAAGATCACAAACAAGTCGCGTCTCTCCTCACGACATCGGTCCATCCTGCATGATCCCGGAAGCCGAACTACACACCTTGGGCTATTAATCGGGAACCAGTTCAGCAGTGCTGCCCCGGCTTTGCTACTTATCGCTACAACACTTCCAGCCAAACCTGCCGCAGCTGCTTCGGCGTCACCAGATAGACGTAGGTGAAATATGGGTCCGTGGTCGGTGGGAGATCTCAACTCAATCACAGTAATGGGATCTTGTAAGCGCATTTCAGAAAGATAGCAAACGTTAATGGCAAGGGATTTCAGGGTGCGCACAAGACCAGCTTGCTACCGCATCTACATGAGTGTATATACATTGTAGCATGCCAGTCGGAGAAAACACCGAGGCCAAAGGAGTGCGACTGTGCGAACTCTCTGGGTGTCGACGTAACCTTCCGGAATAGAATCATGGAAACTAGAATCTTTTGCTAACGGAAAATACGGCTTGGTAACGTATGAAGAGGTGGTGTGTAAAGTGAGTGTCTAGCAGGAGCGAAAGCAGCTGAGAGCGATATTGCACTTACACAGTCCATGGTTTTGTCATTGGGCGTGATACTACCCGGTTGCTCAAGCCGAAGTAGGGAGCTGTCTTAGGAGACTCCACCCCGAGGCTTTGGTCAACTAGCCGGCCCGCAAGCCAGCAGGATGATTGTGAAACTGAGTTAGTCTGACCCCAAAACATTGACCTGCCTGGTATGAGTGGATCGGAAGACACTTGAATGTGCCACCCAACCTAGCTCAATGGTTCACGGGTGCATACAAACCATCGCATCACGTTAACATACAGTCAAATTCATTCGCATTTACTTTCGAAGCTGTCGTGTTTACAATACAATCTGCATCACTTGGTCATCGTTTGGGAAATATTAGCAAGGGTGATTCCAAAAAATGATGGTGGTTGTGAATAATTTCTTAAAATTGAAAAAGACAAGCGACAATTAATCAGAGGTCGTTACGCTGTAGCCCCCATAGACTTTATTGCTACACGGAATGCAACATCTGTACCTCCCCTAAGAACTCAACCTAGCCTATCATGACTTGTGGCAACCAATGGCTGACTTACCGAGCTTAAGCAATTGGACCTCAACTGCTAAGCCAAGTCTGCTCTGGCTGACCGCGCATTATCGATTGAACATTTTGAAAGACTGGATTTTTCCATGCTATTGTCAGAGTGACATGCATACTAAGGCGTTGTTCAGCTGACAGGAGCGCTGAAAACGAAGGAACGTAAAGGGCAGGTAAAGAACTTGCTAGAAAGTACACGGAAACAGAATAAGGATCCGAGCCGCAACAAGCAGAGTGATTTTCTCTTGTGATTAGTTGATGAGCAAGTCGTTATGATAAAGAGAGGCGATTCCCCAAGTTGGCAGTCTGCTAAACATGATCGTGGAAGACAATTCATCCGCAAATTGGCACACTGTTTCTGTGTTAGATTCGATTCCATTTCGGCTGAAAGCGATGGCGTTGGCGCTGCTGAACTTTCAAGGCATCTGCAAGACGATTTGGCAATTAATTCTGAGAGGTCTGGATCAGCAGTGCTGAAGGGCGACGCTTCTGGCGTATTTGAAAGAAGCGCACCAGAGAAAATTAAGTCTGCTTCCACTGATACACCACATGACTCGGTGCCCAAGGATCATCCGGCAGCATGCATTGTACCGGCCCCAGAACTGACGGTTCACGAGACTCAGAATAATAACCAGTTTCAATCACATGAATTAAAAAAAATGCTTTCCCCTAATTTTGCACAGAGCAATGACACTGCTGTGTCCATAAGTGGAGATGAGAACAAATACTGTGGACAAGCAAATGTGAGAAACAATGTGCCTCTGAGGCAATGCAGTGCACGTGACGGTGAAGGTAACCTTGACCCCGTTCTGTTTGCTGCGGAAGATGTAGCCTTGGCCTCAAGGTTATTGTCAAGTGTACTAAATTTGCTTAAACAACAGGTCGGTTGCAACATAGAACGAGATGAACAGGCGAGTACGGCTGCTCACTACATCCAAAGTTCATCCATGGAAGACCTAATCCACCGTTTGCCTGTGGAAAAAATCCCAAAACTAAATCATTTATGTGCCACTGATACGCTCCCGCTTCAAGAGGGCTCGTTACACGATCTTCCATCGTTTGATAATGAACGTCAGATCCCATCCGTATCAGTGGTAATTGAAGAGAATGAGTTCCATTACGCATCGAAGGATATACGGATTTACGTAGAGGACAGCGATCCCATAGAACCAGTAATCCCACTTACCAGGAACAGTTGCACGGAAGACGAACTGGATATCTTGAACCATCTGGCTCCGATCGTGAGGGACAATTCTCTAAAATCTCAATGCCCCATCACTTGGGACAAATCACGTCATCCATCAGCTTATACATCAACCGTTAGAGTGGCAAAGCAGCTTTATACGACCTTACCGACAGATAGTCATTCGGCTTGGCAAACCATAGTAACAACGACCTTCCAACCCTTTTCGACCGAAGAAACCCAGGTGACTGAAGTGGATGATGCATTGCCCACAGATGAAAGTGATCCATCTGAGTTGCTAGGCATAGATAGCATAAGGAATCATAGCGAAAAAATATCAGCGATGCATGGGTTTATGAATTTGCGTCAATACCACACTCAGACTGATCAAGGTGCAAGCCCCACTGCTACGCCAATGGCCACGGTAGGAGCAAGTACCGTATCATGGGATGGGCTAGCTAAGTCAAATGACTCCAACGCAGGGCTGCGTTACTTTCAAGCCAATACTGAAAGACCATCAACGAGAAGTGATAAGGATTTTGCCTTCAAACACCAAGTTGATGAAAACAAGCGAGTTGTTTCGACCGCAATGCTACCTCCAGAGACACCGAACGCCGAAAAGAGACGCGAGGAATATGCAACCCGGCACCCCGTTGTTCTGGATGCAGATGATTTGTCTTTCGAGGTCCTCTGTCAATACAGCAACCATAACGGGATGCTGACAGGTGTAATGACTGAACTCGGTCAACGGAAAGCTCACTGCCCTCAGCCATCCGTAGAAGAGAGGCGCAACCCGAGAAACTTAAAAGCGCCCTACCACCAAATGTATTTTAAGGAGGGATTTGAGTCAGGTCTGGACACCTCATACAATTCAAACCGCAGAGAACGGGTAGAAGCTATTAAATCAAAGCCTCAACGAGTTTCTTCCTGTCCGTTACGAGTAGGGCGACATAGTTTACTCAGTTCCAAAAGCAACAAACCCAAATTGCGAAAATTGGCCTTGCTTCCTACATTGAGGATGGAACAGATGGGAAGCAATATGTTCACAAGAAGGTCAAGCAAGACTAATGGCCAGCCACTTACGGACCACACAAAGGAATTCTCGCTACCACTTAGACAAAAATTATTGGCCAACATTATCACACGGAAGCGATCTTATCAAATGCGCAACGTGCTCACGCAAAATAACGTGCCATCAGGAATTCCTGCGAAGTCTTTAGCATCTGTACTCCAGTCGGAAACTGGGGTGCTGCGAAATCTAGACAAGCCTGTTTCTAGCGTAAGACAAGTTCAAGCGGCGCACATGAGACAAAGCAATGCTGGGTTACAAGTAAACAGTCCCCCCACTGCGAAAGGCGATAGAACGCAGATAAATGTAGGCAATATAGAACCGAGCGTACACTTGCGTGAAAATACTTCTCACTCTAGTTAGTCTCCTGATAATTGATCTCAGTCTAAATTCGGAGTTACTGGATAGTACAGGTGATGGGTGACGAAGAATCAATTCGGAAACTAACAAGAACACTATATCACTACCTCAGACTTTTCACATGAAATTTGATGATCCTATGAGCGTTTGCAAAATGAGTCGTGCGCAACAAGCTGCAGTTGTTACGGTGATCCACTTGCCAATCGTGTCCAACTATGCTACAGTCAGCCTCCAATAATGAACTGACAACCATAACAGCGAGATTGCCTGAATGCTAAATCCACTATGATCAGTATAGCATTATGTCAGACTGTCATCGGCAACACGTTAATGAACGGCCAGAAGTCAAAGTTTTTTCACTCGTTCCTGCTTTATATCATGACTGAAAGTGAGAAATAGTCGATCAGAATGAAATTCTGAGGGAAATGACTGCAATTGAGTAAGCACCGAGCTCATTGCTTGAGGTAAAATCAGTTAGCCGCCGAATCACTTAATCAAGGTCCCGATTTTCGTATTAACGCACACAAAAGTAAATGACTACCGGAAAATATAAGCGAGGAACAAACTATGCATAACTCGAGGGTTGTAGATGTACTCAATGGGATCCACTGGCTTTGGAATAACCGTTGACATAACTTGCCAAGATTGTTTTTTCAGCGAAAAATCCCAGACAAGGTTGTCGACCAACTCGGTTGTAATGACAGTTCCCGAAATATACAAAGCATCAGACAACGAATGCGACCATTTGGCACTGTGCTAACATTGATCATGCAGTTTGACTGAGCGCCTGATAGCTGGGATGAATAACTTAATCACAGCATCGGGTTTATAGGGTAAGCTTGATGAACGGTATCCTAGATACTTTCATAATATTGATGCAGCAGTGGTGTATTTCTGGTTAGTGAGTCGAATGTATCGGAACAAAGTGAAAAAGCTGCTAACCTTCACTGTACTGGAAAAATGGAACCATGGTTTATGGAACAATTGTATATTACGGGCAAAAAAGCGGATGCTTAGCAATCAGAGTAGGATGACCAGAATGAGAATCCCATCCTGGTGAATAAAAACCAGTGATAAAGTGAAAATCGTTTTGGTGGACACACCACAGAGGTATGCAGAAAGGGCAAACCTCAGTTGTGTAGGTTACTTTGGTTGCACCACTTTCGTCACATAATATCGTCTGTCGAGACACACCGGCTATATCTCATAATGTAGGTGGATTAAGGCAACGTCAGGGCGTTTTTAAAACACAGGTAAAATGGGAGCATGCCATTGCTGTCACGCACGAAGAGAATAAAACTTCCGTCGACATTCTAACTGAGTGTATTGCGTGGCTAACTTGAACTGCTGGCCGCACCAGCTGTGTAAGACAAGGTTGCCCGTTGTCACTTTTCCTCCCTTATTTCGACAATGACGAAGTCATGGATACAGCGTTCGCTTGACACGACCTAGATGGTGCGGAGCTACTTTCTGATGAGCGACTTCTTGACTTAGATTATGTAGACGATATTGTCCTAATCTGTGACAGCCCCCAAACGTACTAGGTAGCACTGAACCGATTAGCACTGGCTGACAATCGTTTTGGGATCAGCTTTGCTTCATCAAAATACAAAGTACTTATGCAAGATTGGCAGGGACACACCTCTGTGTTGAACCTTGGTGGTGATCAGCTAGAAGTCATTCGGGAATTCAAGTATCTGAACAGCTATATCAGCGCCTGTGGGATCGATTATGAGGTCACAAACCGCATAGTAAAAGCTTGAGGTGCTTTTGCCAATCTCCGCCACTTTTGGCGCAGATACTTCACTCCCATCCTGAAGTGTAGAGTTTATAATGCCGCCGTCCTTTCAACCCTGTTATACGGTTGTAATATCTGGCCTATCAGGTCGACAGACGTAAAGAGGCTAGTCCGGTTCGACAATCGCTGCCTTGGTAGCTTAGCTCATGTCTGGTGGGGGCACCGCGTGAACAAGGAGCGTCGTTTATTTGGTGCAAAAGAGCTAGTGAACGGATCAGCACCATTATATCACGCACCAAGCTCCGATGGCTGGGCCACCTGTTGCGCATGCCACCACACAGACTCCCGCGACACGCACTTTGCGCGTCGGGGGGGGGGGGTGGTTGGAAGAGGAGGAGGGGTGGCCAAGCGATAACTTAGTCGAAGGGAATGAAACCCCTCATTTCGAAGTTGGCGTCGATTGGTATATCCTGGCAGACTGACTGGGGCCCTAAGGTCGAATACGTTTGGTTAGACACACTTGTTGCTAAAGCAAAGAGTTGGCCCCAGTGACGTTTGTGTAGTGTGTTTCTTTGTTAATCCGCCTCCCTTTTAGATTCCCCCTCCAGTTCCTGTCTCATACGAATTGCATAAAATAATAGTTGACATTATATTACATACCTTTGAAGTTTTTATATTGTAACTGCTTTGTATCTTATCCATTTTGTAATGCGGCATATTAACTGAGGTGTGTTTCTCACCTTTAAATAACCTTCAATAGTTCAAGTGCATTGAAGTTGATGATGATACTGAGTTGTAGTACAATGAACAAGGATTTATGTCGGGTAAAATAGCAGTTGCTTGACATTCCCGCAGGATGGTGGGGGTAAAACTACTATTATCAACTGATATGTGAGTTGTCGGTTTGAGTGTTTATAAAGCAGCTACGCTGCTGAATAGTAGTAGAGCAAGTGGAAACTGAATGCGAACGACGAGGCAACATGGGGACAGTTATAGTTGTTGTACTCTGTGAAAAAAGTAAGAAGTAAAAACGGGAATACTCACTCCTGTACCGCCCCCTAAGGTTTATGTTACATGTAAATCCGGTTTGAAGGGATACTTAATATATTCCAAAGTGGCACAGTTAAGGCAACGAAGTGATGGGAGCCAACGGCAAGATCCAATCGTTTTTTTGTAAATATCCAAAGTGGGAGAGAGTCCCAGGGTGGGCAAACCCGAAGAGAAAACTAATTCCGCCGACATTCCAGGCGGCTATACTGCACACACAATTTCAGAGAGTTACCTCTGAGATTGGTGTTATGACAGAGTTTCAGCAAGTGACGGCATACGCGATTAGGGTCACATAATATTTGGTCGACTACTATGAGGTTGCTGCGCAGCTTTCGGTGGAGGCCACTGAGAACTCCCAGTGATTTTAGCTCTTGTTGGTAGAACAGATTTCGTGGGACTTGACGTTTTTTGTGACCCTGCGTTGTGATTTCTCTAGCACTTCAAAGTCTTGCTTCTAGCAAGTCTACCTAGCTTGGATGGTGCATTCAAGGTGAGGGCGCACGTAGTAATTGTGCATCATGAGAAGCTGGATGGGTCGAATTTTCCGAAGGCTCTCCGCAGCAAGTCGACGTACTGAGTGGCTCTCTTCGAAGGTCTCTCTGACTGCTTTGAACAGTAAAGGTCACTTTGAATGAGCACGCCAAGGTCGCGTTGTTGGTGCTTTTCAATACGTGCGACCGAAGCCTATACACGTCGTCATGTCTGTAGCGCAATTGAAAAGCGTGACCTTTTTCCACATTGAACGGCAAGGTATTAAAAACTGACCAGCTTGGAATCGTGTTGGGGTCAAGCTGCAGCTTTTCGTGGTCGTTCGGTTCTTTGATCGCATGCCATAATTTGATATAATCCACGGAAGCAATTTCCTTCGCCAGATCGTTTAGGAAAATCAAAAATAACCGGGGCTCGAGCACCGAGCCTTGTGGTACACCGCACTCCACCTCAAATGTGTCGGACAGGGAGTCTCCTACTCTCACTTCCAACCAACGTTCGGGCAGGAAATTGTCTATCCAACGCAGCAGTGGGTCACCAACGCCATAGAGTTAAAGTTTATGGGGGAGAATTCGGTGGTCTAAACGATCAAACGCTTTTGAGAAGTCCAGGTAAATGGCATCGACTCCTGCTCCACCATCAACTGCTTCAGTCCAGTTATTGCGTGCAATTAGCAGGTTCGTAGTGCTTGAGCGCTTTTGTCGGAGGCCAGATATTGCATGACTGCGTCATTCATGATAGAGTCCACAACCTTGGAAAACACAGGGAGTAGCGTTATCGGACGGTAATTGGTTGGGTCAATGCGACTACCTCCCTTATGATTAGGAGTGACTACCCCACACTTCCATATTGTTGGAATATGATTCTCCTCCCTACAGCGCTGATAGAATATAGCCAGAGGTTCTGCCAGATCACTGGCTGCTGCCTAGAAAGCCTTCGGTCGAAGGTTATCGACACCAGGAGAGCTGTGGATAAGCAGGGGCAGCCGTTTTTTCGACACACCTGCAGTAAAAGTAATATTTGATAAAGCTGATGGTAGGAAAATAGAAACAGGGACAACCTTTGGAAACGTTTGTGAGTAATGGAACCGCAAGGGATCGGCTGCTTCCTTTACTGCTCACGTGCATCCATCAGTCGCGATCAGTGCTGAACTTCCGCGTTGAACCTTACAAAGGCCATTAACATGTCTGTATAAGTTTGCGGTTCGTGTAGAATTCATTAACTCCTGCTGATGTATCACCTTGTCCTCGTGGATCAAACGCACACAGAAGTCACGCTGTGCCACACAGACAATCCAGATTTCGGAATTCGGGGAATCCTTGTGAGCTCTCCATGCTAACTCCCTCAAGGACATGCTTTTGTGTGTACTGCTCCTTAGAAACGACTTCCTTCTGCTTTGGAGATGGGAGCATTGCTGCTCAGATGCGTGCGTTACCAGTGTGGTAAATGTTCTTGTGAAAGTGTCGCAGGCGATTTCTGAGGGGCTTTCCGTTAAGAAGGTCCAAGAAACCTCCTTAACAAGCGCGGATAACACGTTGTAGTACTTGACCGTATACACTTTATCAACTTCTTCCTCACGATATTCTGCATAATATACATAGTTAAAGATTAGAGTCACATGGTCACTGCGAAACAGTGGTGTGCTTGTAATTATTCCGTCGATCATGAGTTCTTCATAGGTAAGCACAATATCAAGTATCGACGGCTTGTTAGCAGTTCGAAATTT